AACATTGATGGTTAGGACTTGAGCCTGCGCAGGAGAACCATTCAGTTTGATCAATATTTTACAATTAGTCCATGTGGTTTGGATTTTTTCCTTCTCCTTTAGAATCCTCGCTTGGTAAGAGCGATCTCTGCATTCTTCTTTGTGAGGGGCTCATCTACAAACACAGCTGTACCCTTCAGTTTCTTTACAACTTTTAGCAGTTCAGTTTTGTGTTTTGTACTCACAAATCCAATGATGATATTTGGTCTTTTGTTCCGTTTATCCATGCTTGCATTTAGTTTTGGCGGCACTGTGTAACAAGCAGCAACAGTTTTACTATCCAGAGAAATGGTTTTACTGCTCAAGAACCTGAGGACTTGCTGCTCCAGTGAGCGTAGTTCATCTGGTGGTGCGTCTTCCCCTTTATTGTCTTCTGCTGCTGTTCTTGCATATGTGCGGTGTCTTAAGTCCGGATATCACCACATCCTCCTTTCTTGTGTACTGTTCCAGGTCCTCCACTCTTTTTTCCAGCTCTTCAATCTTCTCATCCTAAAAAAATATCCATGTTCATTTGTAGTTGGGCAGTCAGACGCTCCATCGTATAGACATGTCTCCATTTTTGTATCCACTGAGCAACAGTTGGTGAGCAGGGCTTGATCCAGGTTAGGGCAACAGTCTTTCTTGCTACTAACAACAGATTGTGCAATATGTAACATTGATCTTTAGTGAGTAAATCCTTGGGATATATGTCCAACAGACATAGAAGAGAATCCATGGGAAGATCTGTTCTTAGAATGTCCTCAATCTTCTGTGTGATGTTCTCCCAGAAGGTCTTAAGTTTGGGGCAGTCCCAAAAGACACGTGTGTGGTCACCGACCATATCACAGTTCCTCCAGCATTTATCTGTAGTTGTATTCTTGCAAATGAAAGTTTTTAAAGGAGTTTAAAAAAATCTAGTTTTCATTTTCCAGTCAAACTAGTAGATTTTCAATAGATTGCAGGTCAGGTCTACACAACCTCTCCTATCCAGCAGCCATCTTGAAACACATTTACCTATAGATATATGCTAAACAATAGTATAATACGGTTTATCAGGAGAAACAGGAACAGGTCCAACCCTGTTTCCATCATGGGAGAAGAAGTGGAGGTGGTGGAGAAGTATAAAGCGCACCTGTAGAAGGAGGTGAGGACTGAGCTTCCCAGACCAGCTCGCCTCAGCCGTCTGAGGAAGTAGAGTCTCTGATGAGCTTTCTTCATCAGGCTGGTGGTGTTGTTGCTCCAGCTGAGGTTGTCATTCAGGTGTACACCCAAGTACTTGTAGCTGGAGACCACTTCCACCGCAGATCCTTCTATGTTCAGGGGGCAGTGGGGAGAAGGTGTGTTTGTTCCGTCTGAAGTCACGACCATCTCCTTCGTCTTCTTCACATTGATGTGAAGGTTGTTCTTCCTGCACCAGCTCTCCAAGTGTTCCACCTCCTGCCTGTAGCTGGACTCATTGTTGTTTGTGATGCATCCCACCACATCTGTATCATCTGCAAACTTTACAATGTGACAGCCATCATCTTCATCGCCTGGTTAAATCTAGTGGTGTTTCCCTGTTTGTCACCTTTGGTTTAGAGTAGCGCAGTGGTTTATGATGTAGATGTTTTATGCAAATTTTAGCTTTATCAGCTAATTCCACTTTTGTTTTTTAGCTCATTTCAGCTTTTCCCACTTTGTTCTTGTAGGGTAAGCTTCTTTCTGCCTTTTCGGCTACTTTTCAGATGCTTTTTTGCTAATTGTAGCTTTATTAGCTGATTTCCTAATTTTTGTGCTCATTTCTGCTTATTTAAGCCTAATTCAGCAAATATGTGTTCTTTCCATTTTCTTCTGCTAATTTAGGCTTGTTCTCTTCAGCTACATTTCAGCATGTTTTTAGCTAATTTCAGCTGTTTTTCAGTAAGTTCTTCTGCAATAAGCAATCACACTGCATTTTCGTAGGAAATGCAATTTGTCTAGTTCAATTTAACTTTTATTCATGATTACAAATCCATGTTGTTTTAGTTCAAGGTCTCTACTAGAACAGTTTTCTTAATGTGTAACCTTTCTTCTCGTCCTCTACAGAAAAGAACAGAAAACGTTTAGAAGCTCACATTCATATGTGATAGACGGAGCCCACATCTTATCTTCATCAGTTTAAGATGTGATAGGTCCATCCTTCATGAGATCAGCACCTCATACTCTGCCATCTTCTGCTCCACAACAACTCCACACAAGTTCAACATAACGTGGATTAAATTTCCGTAGTGTGTTGCTCCTTTTGGCTCTTGCAGGTATCATGGAGACTTCACTTCTGCTTAACTCCTCATTAGAACATTGGTTATATTGTCCACTTCACCACGGGTTCTGGAGATCTTCTCCTCAATGGGCTTTGTTTTGTTTCCACGTTTGTGATTAGCCTGAACCACTCATCTTGTTCTCTCTCTGCTCTTTAACTTTCCATCATTGCTCAGCTTGTGATGGTTAATTAACAAGTTAATTATTAGTTGAATGGGCAGCACGGTGGGCCAGTTGGTACAGCTGTTGCCTCTCAGCCAAAAGGTCACCGGTTCAAATCCCAGCCTGGGACCTTTCTGGGTGGAGTTTGCATGTTCTCTCTGTGCATATGTGGGATTTCTACGGGTACTCCAGTTTCCTCCCACAGACCAAACACATGCATGTTAGGCTGATTGGTAACTCTAAATTGTCCCTAGGTGAGAGAGAGAATGGTTGTTTGTCTCTATGTGTCCCTGTGATGGACTGGAGACCTGTCCAGTGTGTCCCCCACCTCACACAGTGACTGCTGGACATGACCACCAGTGATCCCTGTGACCCGAACAGGAAGAAGCGTGTAAAGATGATGATGGATGGAGGGAGGGAGGGAGGGAGGGAGGGAGGGAGGGAGGGAGGGAGGGAGGGTCTGCTCTCTGGGGTTCTGGGGCCACACATGGTTCTGTTACTCCCACTTCAGAAGTTGTTGTGATGCTGCCGCCCTGCTAACCTTTGTGTCTCTCCACACTCTGCTGCTCTGAGAGCTCGGTGTTACAGTACGTACTTCCTGCATGCCTGCTGCTGGTTGTGTGTTAAACTGCATGCCCACTGGTTTTAAATATTCATGCCTGGAGTTCACATTTTGATTTGTAATTTTCAGAATTTATTAATCACTCATATATGAAAACCCAACAAAGTTCAGTCAGGTCCTCTGGATGGTTTCTTGTTTTGTTGAAACGGTTCGTCTTTCATCCAAAGGACTTCTTGAGTCCGAGGAGCTGAAACAAACTCAGTCTTATGAACAGCACCTTCACATAGTGGGTCAACCAGTTTGATGGTGCTCAGGTGGTTTCTGGAGTTTGCCCTGTCCCCCGCTGGCTCATTTGAGGCAGTCATGGCTGCTCCTCAGACTGATGAAGTCTTTTGGATGAAAGACGAAACATTCCAACATAAAGAAACCGTCCAGAGGACCTGTTGGATTTTTCTACCTGGATTATTGAGCATGAATCAAGATCATCTGTGAAAAGTTTTGAGTTCCCACTGGTGGTTTTATCAACTGTCAACAAAAAGATTGTGCATGAATATCAGCAATGATTTATTTTTTATTGTTTCTGTTAAAGCAGTGCTACTCTGAAAACACAATATCACTAAAAGAAACCAGCTGAAGTTACACATGAATTATTTTATCTCTTTAGACATTTACCATGCTTATGAACATTTCTTATCAACCCCAATTCAGAAAAGGTTGTGATGTTTAAAATATAAATAAAAACTGAATGCAATGATTTGCAAATCTTACAAAGTTGTATTTTATTCACAATGGAACATAGTAAATATTTTAAACACTGAAATGAGAAAACTGTATAAAAATGTGGGGGAAATAAAAAGATAAATTTGAATTATTTAACAACACACATCAAAAATGCAAGAAAAGCCTGTAAAAGGACATGCTGCGAATAAGAAACAACCGGAGAAGCATTTAGCAATGAAAGAGGCTCATTGGCCTCAGAGGACGCGTGTGGAGGCCGACTGAAGTAAAGATGGACAGAGGGTCAGCAGTCTGTGGAAAACCGCATCTTAAAATTATTTCACTTTCAGAATATTGTTCTTTAATGGAAAACTGGGAAGACCTTAATGATCCAGTCATTTACTGTTAAAATTCTCCAGAATTAGTAGAAACCCCTTGAAGGTCAGTATTGGATGGTCGTGATCTTCGGGCCCTCAGGGGCCACTGCGTTAAAACCAGGTCTGTATCTGTTCTGGGCTCAGGAACAGATCATCGTCTGTAAACTCACTTCATACACAGATGCTGCTTAAAGCTCTATCAGGCAAAGACAAAGCCAGATGTGAACACCATCCAGAACCACTGCCACCCTCTCTGGACCAGAGCTCATTTCAATTCATCGAGACAAAGTCCAGAACTGTTCTCTGGTCCAGTTCAATTTTATTTTAGAACGCTTGGATGTCATACTTCAGAGTAGAGGGATCATCCAGGCTGGGATCGGTGCACTTCATTAAAGCCTGCCTCTCTGATGATATAGGCGTGCACTTTGACTACACATCAGGAAAGGCACCATGGTTGCAGAAAAGTATACACAGGTTTTAAAAGAACAAATACAATCCAGCAAGGAAGAACTGCAAAGAATAAGACAGTTTCACTTCAAAACCTCCAACATCTGGTCTCCTCAGGACCAGATGTTTACAGACTGCTGTTAGGAGGGGATGCTTCACAGAGAGAAACGTAGAGCTGGGGCAGCTTTTGATTTGCAAATCATTTCATTCTTTTATGCATTAAAGCAACATTTTCATTAATGGAACATTCCAGTGTTGCAGTGATCAGGTGCTCGCCTGTTTCCTACCATGTGGTAGTCAATTAATGTTTTAGATCATCTGGATGCTAGAACTACTGGTTATAACTATAATTTACCAGCTTGGATTCTCAGGTTTCCAGTTACCTCTGAACTGCACTGTCTCCTCTCCTCACTCTGTCCTTCCATCTGTGTCACCTGCAGGTGTGGTCCGAGGAAGAGGAGGCTGAGGACGGCGAGTTGAAGGCTCCTGTTGTGTCTTGCATGCAGGCAAAGCAGACCGGGACCAGGACATACTACTTCAGCGCAGACAGCCATGAGGATCAGGAGGACTGGATCAGAGCCATGAGTGAGGCTGCAGAAGTCCCGGATCAGCCGACAACACTGAGGTACTGTCCACTCACTCAGGCACGTGTATGTTCATGTAGTTCAGCCATGACAACACGTCAAGGTCATATTTGTTCTTGCTGCCATCTAGTGGAGATCTTCAGAATGGTTCAATGTTCTCAGTACTTTCTTATAGACGGATTATCAGTCCATGTCACTTCCTGGAATACTGTGCATGTCTGGTGCAGAAAGAAGCAGCGATCATGTCTTGTTGTGCTGTAGGTTGCACCAACCCAGGGGTGTCAAACTCCAGGCCTCGAGGGCCGGAGTCCTGCAACTTTTAGATGTTGCACTGGTCCAAAACACCTGAATCATATGACAGAATTAGCTTCTCAGTGCAGTCAAGTTCTCCAAAGTCCTGCTAATGACCTCCTTATTTGATTCAGCTGTGTGGCATCAGAGACGCATCTAAAAGTTGCAGGACTCCGGCCCTCGAGGCCTGGAGGTTGACACCTGTGCATCAACCGTTTTGATCATGGAACAGGAGACGTCTTTAATTGCAAGACGTCAGAAGAAGAGACTGGAACGAGCAGATGATTAAAAATGCAACAATCTGCAGTCATGTTCACTTTAGCCTGACAAATATCAGTCAGCCACCAAGACATCAAGTGTATTTATAGTTTTTAATACCAATAAATTCATTAGAAGAGCTGTGAAGATGGTCGGATCTGCCTCTGTGCGCTCTCTCGATACATGGGAACAGAATTTCGCACAAGACACCGGCTCTTTCTGCAGACTGGCTGCGCAACATCCGCCATGTTGATCAACAAATAATCCCTCTATAAAAATAAGTAATGGTGTCATTTAAATCTAAAACAGAAGTTTAGATGAACTCTCTGCTTTTCTTCCACTTTTACAGAAGAAGCCCAGAAACCACAGATGATGTCAAGAATCATCAGCTGACAGAGACGTCTGACTCTGAATCCCATCAGCCTTCTCTCATGCAAACCCACAGCGAACCTCACAATGACCTGCGCCCCCACCCCAACACGGACAGCTATGACAACCCCCTACCAGAATCCCCCTACACCCTCAGTACTGACCCGGATGGAAAAATAAATGGCAGAAGACAAGGAAAAACTGAAAAACCAGGTGATGATGAAGGAGTCCCTCTTCATCATCACAACAACTGGGACAACAGTAACCACCCCAGCAGGAAGTCCCAGAACACCAGTAGCAAACCCATCCCCTCCAGGAGTGGGCATCCTGCCTCCCAGGGACACCCAGGGAAGGGTGTAGGCCCGGCCCATGAGCCCAGGATGCAGCAGGAGAACGTGGTGTTGAGGAGGGGCTTTGTGCCGAGGACAGCCCCAGAGAGGGCGGCGCAGAGGAAGAGCTCGATGGCCCAGCTGCAGCAGTGGGTCAACCAGAGGCGGGGCATGGCCTCTCAGGAGGACCTGAACAGGTAGATCACATCAACACAACATCTACAGCTTCACACGCTCATCATGGGAGTGAAGGTCAAATTCATGATGTGAACGGTTCTTTTCCCATGAAGGACACAACGTTCTGTGTTGTTTTGAAAAAAAATACTGTGGATTTTCTCCTGTATATGATCTAAATTATACATGCAGGCATAAATATACACAATACCACCCCCACCCCACATAGTGTTGGATAAAAGTTCCTTAGCAAGTGGCACCAGGGACACGTAACTTAACCAGTCACAAGCTCCTGCTACTGCTATACTTTGGATATTTGACCAAGTTCTTGCAGGCAGAATTGGTTGATGTAATTTAAATGGTTTGGTTTCGGGGAAAAGACTTTTAGGTCCACAAATGTTTAATTGAGTGGAGATCGGGGCTTTGGGAAGGCCAATCAAGATTCTTTATGTCGGCCTGCTTTAATGTCTTAGTTCTTAAAACATTAAAGCAAAAAAATAAAAAGTATGTCTTAATTTGAAAGACCCCATCCTGTCTGTACGTTCGTACATGTTAGGAGGATGATAACTTTAAAAAAAAATGAAGTATCGACTTTCATTTTTGTGTGCGGAAACATAGGCATTATAAAACGTCTTTTCAAAAATTGATTGACACATCAAAAATAAAAATGGCTGCCACAACATAT